AAATATCTTGACAAATGAAAGCAAGACTGCCCCATAAGGATTTTTTTTCTTACCAATAGCTTTTAGAATGGAAATAGTCAAATGATGAAAGGATAATTATGTTTTAATGTTTGGTATGAAAGTGTATGAAGGTTAGCTCATGCCAAAAAGGAAACAAATGAAGTAAGAGTAAGAACCCAACGTATAAAATGCTTACAATATTTGGAATGCTTTTCTTCAGATTGTAGACATGAATGCCAACCCAAGGTAAACGCTAAAAACCAGTCAATTACTCTCAATTCTGTTTTCTTAAATAGCCCACACATACTTCAGGCAAAAAACAGATTTTAAAATTATATTCATAATAGGATAGGAGAAACACCAGCTATTAGAGAAGAGAGTGGATAAAGTTAGAACCTTGTTTTCTTTGAAATGCACCCAATCTTGCAATAACTTTTCTAAAAGCTTCCTTTATTTCCTTGTTTCTCAGGGAATATATCAGGGGATTGAACAAAGGTGTCGGGACTGTATAGAAGAGAGAGAAGACTTTCTTGAGATCTCCAACTACCTCTGTTTTGGGCAAAGTATAGACAATCATTATTGTGCTATAGGAGACAGAGACCACAATGAGGTGAGAGGAGCAGGTTGAGAAGGCTTTTTTCCTCCCCCTGCTTGATAGGATTCTCAGAATGACTGATAGGATGGAAACATATGAGGCCAAGGTCAACAAGAAGGGAGGAAAGGAAAACAGGCCAGCAAAACAGATTACAGTTCAAGCATGTGTGTATCACTGAATCCCTGTTTTACTATTGGATTGAAATCGCAAAAGAAATGGTTGATTAAATGAGAGCTGCAGAACCTTAACTGGTGCATTAAATATATTATTATGTTAATAGCCAAGAAACCACTTATCCAAAATCCAGCTATTAGCTGGAAGCAAACCTGGCCATTTATAAGTGTTCTATAGAGCAGTGGTTTACATATTGTCACATACAGTACCTGTCATATGACATTCTCAAAGCAAGCACTCAAGAGATGTAAGAGATTCATGGAGTGATTTACCATTAGTGAAGAAGGGATTTTAACACCTAGTCTGACACTCCATCTATTGCATCACACTGGCTATCAGACCCAATTTACCCAGGAACTATGGGTCTGATGTCTATGTACACCAGTATAAGTGCTGGTACACCAGTATAAGTGCTAGTACACCAGTATAAGTGCTGGTTGTGGATTTGGACATTTCTTTAATTACAGTACTATGGGAAATAAAATCTACAGCACACAATTTGCAATGTATATTTATAGTCCATTGTTCCCCAAGTGGACTCAACATGGGATTATCACTGCATGAGGATGCACTGATACTATGGTTCCGAAGCCAAAATGCCTAGATTATCTTGGCCTTAACCCCTCACATAAATTCCAGGGTGAACAAGACTTTGATTTGCTTCTTTTCTGTGTGCATGGATTAGTCATTAAACTGGAAGGAAAGTCTAGTTTCTTTAGAAAGTTCTTTGCACCACACCAGAGTGCTGAGCCAATGGAAGTCACATTCCCTGAAATTTCTCCTCCACCACCACAGCCCAGTGGAGCACACAAAGTTCTTGGGCTCTCATTGTTTATTTCTGGTGACTACTGTCCTGGCTTGGCTTTTAACCTGCTCTCGTGTCTGGACTTCTGCTCTCCCATCCTTTACTTCCCTAAGACTTTGAAGGTGAAGTCCTGCTATGTACCTTATGCCATGTAAGGCTGAGAATTTTATCACCTGAGTGATTTGTTTTCAGAAAGAAACTATTTCTGAAGTTTCCCCCCAAGAATATTAAAGTTCTCGCAGAATCCATTTCACTATTGGGAAGTTTTTGGGGTGCTCAAGGTGGAAGAGGAGAATCTTTAATTAGGAAAAACAATGGCACCACTTATAAATTATTCTGCAACTTGTGCCAACAGGATTTCACCTGTTACATTAGACTTCTGCCTATATGTGACAGCATATGACAGCAACATAGTCTATGGGATCTCCCCGCATAGGAACAGGATAAAGGGAAGCCAAAGGTGGGTGGAATAAAAGATCATCATCCCTGCTTTTCATACTTTATACTCTAAACCTGTGTGCCTTGGTGCACTTCAGCCAAGATGGAGGAAACCATGTTCACGTGGTATAAGAGGAATTGCTCTCCTCCTCTCACCTGAGCAAGTGCTAAAGAAGTGAGGACATTCTATTCTTCCCACATTATGTAGGAGAAAAAAATACAAGTAGCTGTCCCAGTGCATCTAATTTCACATGCCCACATTGCAAAGACACACAATCCTCTTCCAGCATTTCAACAGCTTGCACATCATTTTAAAACAATTGCTTTATTCAAAAGGAAAATGAACAGAGGCAACTCCACTTTATTCAAGGTATAGGCCCTCTATATACTGTCAGTGCAAAAACTACAACATTTAGAAAGTGAAAACAAAGGAAAAGTAGAGATTTCTCCTTCCAAAAAACTAAAAAAGAAATATCTCAGCACTATTCCATTACTCCCAATTTCATAAAAGAGCTGCTGCACCCAGATCAGGAAAAAAAATAGTTTTTAAAATTATATTCTAATACAATGGAAGAAACACTAGCTTTTAAATGAAAAAATGCATTAATTTAGACCCATGAGATCGATGAAATACACACAATCTAGCAACACTTTTTCTGAAAGCTTCCTTTACCTCCTTGTTTCTCAGGGAATATATCAGGGGGTTGAAGAAAGGTGTCAGGACTGTATAGAAGAGAGAGAAGACTTTGTTGAGATCTTGTAGTGCCTCTGTATTGGGCAGCATATAAACAATCATTATTGTGCTATAGAAGACAGACACCACAATGAGGTGAGAGGAGCAGGTTGAGAAGGCTTTTTTCCTCCCACTGCTGGTTGGGATTCTCACAATGGCTGATATGATGGAAACATACGAGGCCAAAGTCAACAAGAAGGGAGGCAAGGAAAACAAACCAGCAAAAAAGACTATTAACAGTTCAATCAGGTGTGTGTCATTGCATGCCTGTCTTACTATTGGATTGAGATCACAAAGGAAATGGTTGATTTTGTGAGATTTGCAGAACCTCAGTTGCTGCATTACATATATAACTATATTTACAGCCAAAGAACCACTTATCCAAGATCCAGCTATTAGCTGAAAGCAAACCTGGCCATTCATACGTGTTGTATATAGCAGTGGTTTACATATTGCCAGATACCTGTCATACGACATTGCAGCAAGCAGATAACATTCAGAAGCTCCTAAGGAAGCAAAAACGTAGTACTGCACCATACAGCCAGTTACAGAAACGGTTCCTTGACCCCCTTTGGAAAGATTAGCCAGCATCAGGGGAAGGATACTAGAGCTGTAACAAGACTCTAGGCAGGATAAGTTAGCCAAGAAGAAGTACATAGGAGTATGGAGGTGGTGGTCAGTTATAACCAGCATGATGATGAGGATGTTCCCAGCCATGGTAGCAACGTAGATCATCAAGAAGAGCAGGAAGAGAGGAAACCACTGATCCCCCAAATCTCCAAATCCCAGAAGAAGGAATGAAGTGACCACCGTTTCGTTTTCCTGTCCTGTTTTTTCCATCTTGAACTTTTAAACATGTAAAGATCAAATAACCTATAATTAAAATGTTTAGGAATGAATGAACATTCCCCCTTTCCCAGAAACATTTTCTTGATCACACAACAGATAGTAAACAAAAGAAAGGTGACTAGATAAATGGGGTAATAGTTTTCCATTGCTTCTTCCCAATAGGGATATTCATATACATGTGGATTTTATGTGAGTCCCGCTTTTTCTAACATAATATTTCATTTGTCTCATTTCTCCCCTGTTGTGCAAATCTGTTCCCTAGCCTACTTTCCAGATTTTTCTACAAGTTTGTCCAAATTTCCAATTCTCCTGCTATTTTGTACAAATTGTTCAAATGGCACATATATTTGCAGATTTCCTAAAACAATGAACTTCTATGTAATACGTGCATTCCTGTCTGCACTTTTCTCCATCTTACACACACTTTTTGCATGCATTTTGTGCTAACAACGTTGCTAACAAACGCCAAGAAACAGGCTGTTTTCAACGCTGAACTGTATTATAGTTGGTGTATGAGCTCAGAGAGCGCAAATCAGGTAAATTCTCATAAATATACAGACCAAATGAACTATCCATGCATTGTTCCTTCTGTACTTACACATCTCAGCTCAACAATCCTCAAAGTCTTCAACAAGTTATTTCTGTTTGAGAAAAGGCCATGGTTCAGGACATGGAGCAGATTTTAGCAAGCAGATTCCAGAGATCTTCATGTATTTATGAAGAGTTTGCAAACATGTTCATCATTCACAGATTTATGTAATTCTCCAAATATACAGCTTTATGTGTTCTTATATCACTCCCAACTCACATCCATGCATATTAAAAAGAGACCACAGAAATAGAATTACCTGATCTGCAATTTGAAGAAGTGGACTAGTCCATGAAAGTTCACATTAAAATGTAGCAATTAGACTTTGAGGTGTCGTGACTTTTTTGTGTTCTTCATATTTTGTTTTGTTTTTGCCTGATCTGTACTAGAATGTCTCTCTTCTGGATGCAGTGTCTCTCTTTTCCTTCTTTATGAACACAGTTCTTGGTATAAACATTTAAAATCCTGTTTGTTCTCACCTTCACTTCTTTTTAACCTCGTCGGAATAATCGGTCCCTTTGAGCCTTCATTTTCCTTCTTTTCCAAAGGGACCGGACAATCTCCTTGGAATTTTTTTAAAGTTATAACTACCTTTAATTTCCATATTTAGAACTGAGACAAAGCAGTTAAACTTTTGACTGGGAGTAGATGGAGCATAGATTCTTGCATTTGTTAAACTTAGGTGATGCAAAGCTAAATTCAACAAGAGGAGATTTTCACTCTAGTTTAATGAGTAATCCATGCATGCTTACGGGGGGTGGGGAAACAAATCAATGTATCCCATGCTCTCTCTGATGTCAGGATTAAGGATGGGATAATCTGTGTATTTTAGCTGAGACAATGGTCTGATTTGTCCAGATTTTTTCTGTTCATAAATTGTGTCAGTTTGTTGATACTTTTTAAACAAAAAGGAGCATATTTATTTTTATATGCATGTACTGTCCACTTTTGCTCCTGATGTCAGAAAATCCATTCCTTCCACATGCAATAATTTTTGCACTTTTCCATTATGTATGCATTGCTGCGTGCATTTCTCTGTTGCAAAGTGGACTGCAAACTTCTGAAAAGGATGGATTTTGACAGATGATTGCATTCTGGCTCATTCGTTATTCTGGCATATCAAAAATTTGGTACTTTTTGGAACAGATACTTTTTAAGATTACAGTTCCCAGGAAACTCTCAGCCAGCATGATAAATTTAATCTCCGAGTTCTTGTTCCTAGACCGCATTTTCAACTCCTGCGTCTCAGAGCAGTTCTAGGACAGAATTTATTTGATCTGAATCTGGAGGGAAGCTCATAAAAACTCATATGCCAAATCATGTGCAATTTTGATTTCTGGTAACCCTTTTCAGGGTTGGCATGCTCTGGTCCATGGGGTCACGAAGAGTCGAACACGACTAAACGACTAAACAACAACAACCATTTTTAGGGTTTTCCAGGTAGTGAATACTCAGACATGGTTTTCCATTCCCTCCTTCTAGGGGCACTCTGAGTGTGCAGAGTTTGTCCAAGGCCACAGGGACTGGCTCTTCTCTCAAGTGGTACACTGGGGAATTGAACTCCCAACCTCCAGCTTTGTAGCCAGAGAAAAAAAAATATTGACCTATCCAGCCACTCCTAAAATGCACATTATGACAGAGTCTTTATCTTATTCCTAGAGAATACTGTATTATTTATGATGACATGTATAGCTTACATACATGGTAGGTCAGGCTGAGAGAAAAAGATTAAGGGAATGGCTGTGCTCCTCCTCCTACCTTGTTCCAGAGCTGGATGTCAGTCCCCACCCTCAGTGCTACTGTCCGTCCCTGCCTTCCACCACAATTGTCAAATGAAGTACCCAGCTGGCTTTTCAGGAGAAACCTTGATATATATTTTTTCAAACCATATCTGACATGTTGAGGGCAAAAGAGCTGGCTTTTCAGGAGAAACCTTGATTTTTTTTTCAAACCATATCTGACATGTTGAGGGCAAAATTCTCCAAAATTGGAGTGTTCCTTTACTGTCCTCATTCAAACAATCATCTACCAGTAAAAGCAAGGGTCAACAAAGTCTTCATATTCCGAGTAGACATGGTCTAGAGGGGCGGGGTAAAAATCAAATAAATAAATAAATAAAGTCTTCATATTCCAATTTCTCTGTGGCTTCTCAATGTCCTTATCTATCTATGGTTCCTCTCTCTCTCTCTCTTGCTCTTCCCAACCAATGGCATCTGTTTGTGAGCATTTATTTGTTCAAAGACAATTATGTTTCGGAAAGTCTGCTGTCCCTCTCTATCCTGCCCCTCTCTCTCTTTCTCTCTCTTGCTCTTCCCAACCAATGGCTTCTGTTTGTGAGCATTTATTTCTTCAAAGACAATTATGTTTTGGAAAGTCTGCTGTCCCTCTCTATCCTGCCCAGAAGTAAATGCCAGTAACCACAGTGAGTTTTCTGAGGTACTGGCAAGATGAATGAGAAATGGCTATGGAATGTTTCATTAGGCTAAGGAGGAAAGGAAATCAATTATTTATTAAAATATAGTTCTGGGTAATATTTGGAATTACCATGGTACTGGATTCACACCTCTCACACAAGGCTGTGAGAACACAGGAGTCCAAAAAGCCTGGTTCTGTGCATAAGGAGAGAACGTTCCTAAATCATGGTGGAGTATGCCCTAGAAATGTACCCTCCTAGGACTGGTTTCTTCTTACGTTCCACCACATCCATTCCAACTGAAAGTGACCCAGATAGAGGGAGCTTATGTGAGATTTTCAAGGAGTGGTTTGCCCCCTTGTGCTTGTTGGGGTTTGAAAGCTTCAGGAGGAAAAAAAATGGCACTACTGATGAATTCATTCTGTGTCATGTGTTATGTTAGACTTCTGCCTACCTGCCACAACCATATACAGTCTGATTTCCCCTTACCTATGGGCAGGATACAGGGAAGCCTGAAGTAGGTGGAAGAAGAGATAATTATCCCTGCTATTGGTACTTCATGCTCCCAACTAGTGAGCCCTAGTGCACTTCAGTCCAGATGGAGCAACCACATTCAGATGGTAGAAGAGTTTTGGCTCTCTTAACCTCACCTGACCTCCTGCTAAAGAAGGAAGGGGTCATAACCCTCCCACATTGTGTAAGAGAGAAAAAAACAGTGCATCTATTTTGACGTTTCTATATTCCACAACTTTTTTAAAATGTTGCTTTACTCAAAAGGAAAATGGACAGAGGCAAGCAGCTCTACTTTATTAAAAGTATTTATACACATTTTATATTCCATAAGTACCAAATCTACAATATTTGGAATGTGAAAACCAAAGGAATGTGAGATTAATACTTTCAATATACATAAAGAGGAATGTCTAAGTACCATTACAATACTCCCTCATGCATAATGAATGACCCATCCCAGCTCAGACAAAAACAAATTTTCAAATTATATTCTTAATAACGTGGGAGAAACATCAGCATTTAAATCAGAAAATGCATTCAATTACATCTTTGTGTACTTCGAAGTGCACATAACCTAGCAAAACCTTTTCTGAAAGCTTCCTTTACTTCCTTGTTTCTCAGGGAATATATCAGGGGATTGAAGAAGGGCGTCACAACAGTATAGAAGAGAGAGAAGACTTTGTTGAGATCTCGTAGTGCCTCCGTTTGGGGCAAGACATAGACAATTATTATTGTGCTATAGAAGACAGACACCACAATGAGGTGAGAGGAGCAGGTTGAGAAGGCTTTTTTCCTCCCACTGCTGGATGGGATTCTCACAATGGCTGATATGATGGAAACATAAGAGACTAAGATCAACAAAAAGGGAGGCAAGGAAAATAGGGCAGTGATAAGGACTGATAGGAGTTCAATCATGTGTGTGTCATTGCATGCCAGACTGATAAGAGTTCAATCGTGTGTGTGTCATTGCATGCCTGTCTTATTATTGGATTGAAGTCACAAAGGAAATGATTGATTACACTTTTGTGACAAAACCTTAATTGGTGCAAATTTCACTTTTGTGACAAAACCTTAATTGGTGCATCAAATACATAAATATATTAACAGCCAAAGAACCACTTATCCAAGATCCGGCTGCTAGTTGGAGGCAAACCTGGCCATTCATAAGTGTTGTATAGAGCAGCGGTTTGCATATCGCCACATACCTGTCATAGGACATTGCAGCAAGCAGGTAGCATTCGGAAGCTCCTAAGGAAGCAAAAAAGTAGTACTGCACCATGCAGCCAGTTACAGAAATGGTTCCTTGCCCCCCTTTAGAAAGATTAACCAGCATCAGGGGAAGGATACTAGAGCTGTAACAGGATCCCAAGCAGGATAAGTTAGCCAAGAAGAAGTACATAGGAGTATGGAGGTGGTGGTCAGTTATAATCAGCACAACAATGAGGATGTTCCCGGCCATGGTAGCAATATAGATCACCAAGAAGAGCAAGAAGAGTAGAAACCACTGATCCCCCACATCTCCAAATCCCAGAAGAAGGAATTCCATGACCAGTGTTTGATTTTCCATTTTTTCACTTCTGACAGTTCAAATATGTGAGAATCAAGTAACCTGTAATGAAATTGCATGGACATGAATGAATGTAATCCCGTTCCTAGGAAAGTTTTCCTGGCTGCACAAGACTAGAACTTATAAAAGAAAGGTAGATAAATAAATGTGGTAATAGAGTTTCTATTGCTGCCTCCCAATAGGAATGGGCAAACATTTGTATATGAGTTCTCTTTGATTTACAGTTCTTTCCAGCATATTTGTTTATTTTAATTGTTTGTTTGTTTATTCTTATATTTCCAGACCACTGACTTTGTGTATAACACTACTGTAACCAGCTTACACATAAAATCATTAACCTAAAACATCAACAAACACAAGTATAATGACCAAATTAATCCCAAGTGATGCCTATAAAAATAACTTACAATAGGATGTCCTTTAAAGCTTCCAGGAACAGTAGTTTAAAAATTCTTTTAAAGATTGGGTCTGCCCAGTTCTGTAGGAAACTGCAATTATTGAGTGTTTAAGTGTTTTTTCCTCATGCCTCTAAATCAACACAAATTTTTTTCAAATTGCACAAATATTTGCAAGTCATCTTTTGAAAAGCATTCTTAAGGAAACTTATATAATGCATGAATTTGTTTGCATGGTTTTCTTGACATTTTTTAATGAATTTTTTAGGTCCAAACTTTATCTCCAAAGTCCAGTAAATTATAGATTTCAGCGCTGAACTGTATTCCTATTTGTATATGCTTTCCAACAGTACAAATCTGATTAATATCTTTAAAGCTACATTTTGCATGAATAAGAACCGCCCCGCCTCAGCCCACCCCATCCTCCCAGGTCCTTCTTTAGTTACAAATCACAACTGAACAGTACACAATATACAATATTCAAAACATTCAGCAAATTCTTTCCATTTAGAAAAGGCCAACAGTTTCAGGGAAATGTACAATTTTTTAAAGTTTCCATAAATCTCCCTTTGTTCTGAAGAGTTTCCAAAGTGTGTTCATCATTGACTGAAATTCAACATTTTCATAAATTATTTTTCCCATACCCTCCTCAAGCCACATCTCTGTATATTATGAAGAGCCCACAGCACTTGAATTACCTGCTCTGCAGTGTCTCTCTTCTGGATACGGTGTCTCTCCTTTCCTTCGCCTTCTTTATGAACGCATATCATGATAATATGATTTAGAGCATGTTTGTCCTCACTTTCACTTCCTTTTAACCTCATATGCTTTGTAAAAATAATCAGTCCCTTTGAGCATTCATTTTCTTCCTTTCCCACAGAGAAGTCATAGTCTCCTTGGAATTTTTTTGTAATACATATATTAAGATTACCATTAAGTTCCATGTTTAGAACATAGGCCAAGCAGTTAAACTTTTCACTGAGAGGAGATGGGGCATAGATTCTTTGATTGGCTAAAGTGAGTTGATGAAAAACTAAATTCATCAAGAAGGAGGCTTTCATTCTAGTTTAATGATTAATCCATCTGTACAGAAAAGAAGCAAAACAATTCATTGTATGTATTCATTCATTCATTCATTCATTCATTCATTCATTTGTCTTCTGTACTGCCCATCTGACTGACAAGGCCATTCTGGGAAGCTTACATATTAAATAAACATGACATCAGAAAACAATTCAAAACAACAAATGTAGAATCAAAATTAAACCCACAATGTTTCCCCAATTACAACTTTGTTCTGGCCAACAGTGATACCAGTTTTTGAATATAATAGAACGTAATTCTCTTAACTAAAACGGAAGCAATTTCCTTTATATATGCATTTCCTATACATTTTTGCCTGTGATCTTATTGCTATTTTTGGCCCCAATACAAAATATTCCTTCAATATGCATTTTGTTTACACTTTTCCATTATATATGCATTACTGCATGCATTTTCAATTTGCAAATTAACTTACTTCCAGAATTAATAACCAGGGTATTCTTGACCCTGAGCAAGCTGTCTTCAGGAAAGGAAAGGCCACTGCAGATAACTGCCTAATACTTTCACACCTCATTAATGAAGAGGTAACGTGGTGGCGCTGTGGGCTAAACCGCAGAAGCCTGTGCTGCAGGGTTAGAAGACCAGCAGTCATAAGAGCGAATCCATGTGACGGAGTGAGCTCCCGTCGCTTGTCCCAGCTCCCGCCAACCTAGCGGTTCAAGAGCATGCAAATGCGAGTAGATCAATAGGGACCACCTTGGTGGGAAGGTAATAGCATTCCGTGTCTAAGTCACACTGGCCATGTGACCATGGAAGATTGTCTTCGGACAAAACGCTGGCTCTATGGCTTGGAAACGGGGATGAGCACCGCCCCCTAGAGTCGAACACGACTGGACAAAAATTGTCAAGGGGAACCTTTACCTTAAAGAAAAAAAATTCAAAATTGTATGTAACCTTTCTTGATCTAAAGGAGCCTTTGACTCTTTAGATAGAGAGTCCTCATGGGATAAACTGGGGATAGATAAAAGACTTCTCTCTCTCATAAAAAAATTACACTCTGGCATGCCTGTCAAGTTAGATCTTCTTGGAAGGGTGAATTAACCAACCAGTTTTCAACCAACAAGAGGGTGAAGCAAGGATGCATCCTTGCTCACTCCTTGTTCAACTTTTTTATGAATGATCTGGCTGTTTATTTAGTGAATGTGGATGGTCACCCTCCCAAGTTAGGAACATATTCTGTTCCGCTACTGCTTTATGAGGATGATGCCGTTATTGTCTCATACACCCGTCCTGGTCTGAAATGTTTGATTAATAGATGTGTGGAGTATTTGGACAAAAACAAAATGCAATTGAATTATAACAAGTCTAAAACCCTAGCTTTTGTTAAGTCCTGGAAACAATTACAATTGAAACTAAATGGTAACAATATTGAACGGGTCGAACAGTACAAATATTTAGGTATTCTTTTTCACTATAAACATTCCTGGGTTCCTCACCACAAATCAGTTTTAAACATAGCCAGGCTTTCTGTGCAGTCCTTACTTCAATTTTATTACAACACTGGCAGCCAATATGTCCCGGCAGCCCTACAAGTTTTTAAATCTATAATTACTCCACAAATTCTGTATGGCATCCCAATTTGGCAAAATCTCACTTCTTACATAAGGTATATATGTCCCCTACTCGGTAGTCTGTCCTTAGAGCAGCCTATCCACACTGGAAACGATGGCATGGCTGAGAACTTTTCAATTCAGACCAGGACAGCTTATTATATGAGTTTCTGCAAGATTTCAACCCTCCTTTTGAGTCTACTGCCCTTTTAAAAAAACTGAAATTGATTGTCCTAGACATTGGCTTTTTAGCTTCACTAAGTCTACAGCCAGCATTTCAAACAGTTAAGAGACGAATTATGGACACTGAGTTTCAGGAATTATGGAGCACAGCTAAGACTTGTTCCCCATTGTCTCTTCATATCCCCTTTAAAATGGGACATCAGCTGCTTTCCTCATGCTGCTTAAATGTCCACAAAACCACAGGGCCTTGCTTCCCCAAGCCCCGAAATGAAGACGCAAGACAACAATTCTTTGGAATTTAAATATGGACCTCACTTTATTAGTACCAATTCAAGTTCAACCTGATAAACCAATTCCAAAATTGAGGGGGCCTGCGGTAGTGCGGGGAAATAATGCCGAATAATTCCTTATCAGTCAATGGGCGAGTCCCAGGCCCCAGGTTCCAGCTGTCTAACGACTGGAGAAACCTGTCAGGCCTCAATTAAACCCCCCGGACCTCTAGCCATCATATTTGATGACTTTTGGTCCGAGAGTGGTCCAGCGCATCAGCCGCCTTCGGCCCTGTAATCGCACGATCCGCAGAACCGTCAGAACTGACACGCTGTTTGTTTTATGATAATTACAAAAGGGACACACCGTGACAACCAGTTATTCCCGCACTACCCGCCAGTGTGACCAATTAGAAACCACCCTTAAATACCAACAAACCCTTTTCCAGTGTGGGATAGGCGAAAAATCCCCCCATCCCCAAGCCAGTCAGGATAGAGGTCAAAAATTCCTATCCGGCCCCATAACAGGCGACCCCAAAAACACACTAGAAAGAGGGTGGGCGGTTGGGTGCCAGAAGCGAAAGAGCAACTGCAAACGGGCCGGCGCTTCCTTAAATCAGTGCCGGCCCCTCCCAAGTGTCACGTGGCCCATTGCTTGCTCCTTCCGGACCTGGGGAAGCAAAAAAAAACGCTGCAAAATTCGATGGTACGAAAATGCGCCACTCGTGCGCGCGTACACTTTTCTCTGGCCACATGTAACGTCATGCCTGGTGCTGTATAGTAGTAGGTATAACGAAACCCCTATCTTGAAAGATATTGTCCATGTGAGCAGGGCGCTTTGGAAATCCTTACTTACAGCTCTTGCACTATCCGCTTCATCAAGACTTTTGCAAAAAGTATGTCACCTCAATATTATTAAACTGGAGGAGAAATTCGATCTGGACAAGGTCCGTTTTATGTTATCAGTGGAGGTGGTCAACATTATGGAACAAGTAGCTGTTTTTCTTGGGTCAATTGTTAGGAGGCGAAGCCCTGACCTAGAATGAATGTATTTGTTTCACATGCCCTGTGAATCCAGAAATCTAACAAACTAGCCTGACTATGTTGATTTTATATGCCAATAAAGGTATTATTATTATTATTATTATTGTTGTTGTTGTTGTTGTTGTTGTTGTTGTTGTTGTTGTTACTGTTACTATTACTATTACTATTACTATTACTATTAGCAAATTGAAATTGCAAAAAAAAAAAATTTGAGTTTATGTGCAACATTTAAGGAGTGGTTTGCCCTTAATACCTCCCAGTAAGTTTTCATACACAAGAAAGCAAGAAATTTAAATCTGCTTTTTCTCAAACCTAGTCCTGGTTCACACACTAGGACTTTTGAGGGATGTAAAAGCCTTGCTAATCTTCTCTTTGTCATTCCAGTGTTAGTTTATGTGCTGTCAAAGTGAGCACTCAAGGACTGTAAGAGATTCAAGGAGCGGTTTACCATGAGTTGAATCAGGGAACTGAGGGATCCTAAGTCCTCATCTAACACTCCATCCAATGCATTACATTGGTTGTCAGACCCAACCTGTCCAAAGTCTATGAGTTCAATGTCTGTGTAGACCAGCATAAGAGCTGCTTTTTTGCTTTTAGATTGATTTGTTTCTTTTCACTGTGCATCGATTAGCTATTAATCTGGAATGGAAACCTCATTTCTTTAGAAACATCTTTGCACCAGACCAGAGTCCTGAGTCTCTTAAAGTCATGTTGGCCAAAACGTTCCCCAACAGCCCAGCCCAGTGGAGCCCACAACTAGATTTCTTGGACTCTTCCTTATTTATGTTGACTCGTAATTCCGGGCTGAGCAGGCAGTGTTAGATTTTTCTGCCTACATGCCATAGCCACACAGACTCTGAGATCCCCCTGCCTAGGGACAGCATACAGGGGAGCCTGAATGGGTGGGAGATCATCGTCCTTGATATTCATATTTCATGTTCCAAATCTGTTAACCTTTTCTGCACTTTAGTCCAGATAGAGCAAACCAGATACAAGTGGTAGGAGAGGGATCTGTTATCTTCACCTTACCTCTTCCTTAAGAAATGGGGGGATTCTATTCCTCCCACATTATTGAAGAGAAAAAAATACAGGTAGATGCCCCAGTGCATCTAATTTGATGTGCTCATATCTCAAAGACATGCATATCTCTTTCAGCATTTCTGCAGCTTACACATCTTTTTTAAACTATTGCTTTATTTAAAAGGAAAATGGACACAGGCAAGACACTCTAATCAAAGTATTTATGCAGTACAGACTATATAAACTGTGAGTGCAAAACTTACAACGTTTGGAATGGAAAAGCCAAATGAACAAGAGGTTTACCTTTCCTGCATATTATTTGTTTATAATATTTTATCCTGTTTTTCTCCTTAAAAGGACCCAATCCATCTTACATCATTAAAAGAACAATATTCAAAAGCTAGAAACAGTAAGTATAAAATATTTTTAAAGAATTAAGCAAGTCTCATATTAAAAATGACAAATAAAATCAATACAGTAAAAACATATTTAAAAGCAGCAATTTAAAACCAATTTGAAAAACCCCTCTCAGGCTGCTAGTCACTAAGGAAAAACCTGTCAGAAGATAAAGGTCTTTGCCTGCTTATGGAAGGATAGCAAAGGGGTGTCAGCCTAGCTTACTATGGGAGAAGATTCCTGAGTCTGGGAGTAGCAACAGAGACCACCTTCTCCTGTTTCCCCATCAAGCTTACTTGTGAGGGTGGTGGGATTGAGAGAAGGTTCTCCCCTGATTATCTTAATACCCAGGCAGACTCATAGAGAGAGAGAGAGATGTGATCTAAGGACCATTCCATTACTCCCCATTACATAAGGAAGCACCCAGCCAGCCCAGGCAACAACAGATTTAAAAATTATATTCTAAGCTGAGCTGAAGAAATGCCAACATTTAAATCAGAGAATGTATAAAATTAGACCCTTGTGTTCTTTGAAAAGAACACAACCTAGCAACACTTTTTCTAAAAGCTTCCTTTACTTCCTTGTTTCTCAGAGAATATATCAAAGGGTTGAAGAAAGGAGTCAGGACTGTATAAAAGAGAGAGAAGACTTTGTTGAGATCTTGTAGTTCTTCCGTTTTGGGCAGCATATAGACAATTATTATTGTGCTATAGAAGACAGAGACCACAATGAGGTGAGAGGAGCAGGTTGATTCCGTTTTGGGCAGCATATAGACAATTATTATTGTGCTATAGAAGACAGACCACAATGAGGTGAGAGGAGCAGGTTGAGAAGGCTTTTTTCCTCCCCCTGCTAGATGGAATTCTTAGAATGACTGATATGATGGAAACATAAGATGCCAAGGTCAACAAGAAGGGAGGCAAGGGAAATACAGCAGCAAAGAAGACTGATAAGAGTTCAATCAGGTGCGTGTCATTACATGCCTGTTTTACTATTGGATTGAAGTCACAAAAGAAATGGTTGATTACATGAGAGCTGCAGAACCTTAACTGGTGCATTAAATACATAATTATATTTATAACCAAAGAACCAATTATCCAAGATCCAGTGACTAGCTGGAAGCAAACCTGGCCATTCATAATTGTTGTATAGAACAGTGGTTTGCATATTGCCACATACCTATCATAGGCCATTGCAGCAAGCAGGAAGCATTCAGAAGTTCCTAAAGAAGCAAAAAAGTAGTACTGGACCATGCAGCCAGTTACGGAAATGGTTCCTTGACCCCCTTTGGAAAGATTAGCCAGCATCAGGGGAAGGATACTAGAGCTATAACAAGTCTCCAAGCAGGATAAGTTAGCCAAGAAGAAGTACATAGGAGTATGGAGGTGGTGGTCAGTTATAATCAGTATAATGATGAGGATGTTCCCAGCCATGGTAGCAACGTAGATGACCAAGAAGAGCAGGAAGGGAAGAAACCACTGGTCCCCCGCATCTCCAAATCCCAGAAGAAGGAACTCACTGATGAGTGATTGATTTTCCTGGCTTGTTTTGTCCATCCATAAGGATCTGATAAGCTGTAACAGAAATAGTAGAAATTAAATGAATGTGGTCTCTTTTCTACAGGCTTTTTTGGTCACACAACACTAAAAGTGGCAGTACACAAAAGAGAAGTAAATGGCTAAATGTGGAAATACATTTTCCATTGCTGCTTCCCAATAGGAATGGGCAAATATATGTATCAGTTCTATTTGATTTACAACCTTTCCAGCATTTTTATGTTTTAATTATGTATTTATTTATTTATTTGCATATTTCCATACTACTGACTTAGTGTGTAACACTACTCTAAGCACTATGTGCATAAAATTAATAACCCAAAACTTCAACAAACACAAGTATAACAACCAAATGTACTCTAAGTGATGATAGACTATTGTAATGCTTGAAATAATAGCTTACAGTAGAAAGTCCTTTAAAAATTCCCAGTAGCGTCTCAAGCATCCTCTTAAAGGTTCAGACAGTCCCTTTTCTGCATGAACTTGCAAATTTGAATTTTTGTGTATTTTGTTCTTGTTTCCCTAAATCTACAATTCATGTGCATTTTTAGCTCAAATTGTTCAAATCACACACATTTCTTCAAGTCCCCAATCAAAAAGGCAATCTTCATTGAACTTAATAGAAGAATTTGTGTTCACATTTTTCTCAACTATATACATTTTTAATGCATTATTGAGGTCTGCAAACTTGCCTGCAAATGCCAATAAAATTGTATTTCAGTACTGAACTATATTCCTGTTTGTGCACAGGCTTATACAGTACAGATGTGGTCTATTCCTTTAAACAAACTAAATAAAATACAGCCCCCTCCCAAGCTGTTTCCTTTGTAAAAAAATCACAGCTGAACAGTCCTGAAATTCTTCAGTAAATTTGTTCCATTTAGGAAAAGACATGGATTGGATAATGGGGCAATTTTTAACAAGCAATTTCTATAAATCTCCCTTTGTCCTGAAGACTTTACGAAGTATGTTCATCATTCACTGAAATTCACAGTTCTCAATATATATAGCCATCTCTGCATATTATGAAATGACCACAGCACTAGAATTACCTGCTCTGCAGTGTCTCTCTTCTGGGTACAGTATCTCTCCTTTTCTTTATCTTCTTTATGAATGCACTTCTTGATATAATGACTTAAAGCATGTTTGTTCTTCACTTCTTTTTAACCTCAAATGCTTCATAAGAGTAATCATTCCCTTGGAGTGTTCATTTTCCTGTGTTCCCACAGGAAGTCACTGTCTCCTCGGAATTCCTTTATAATACGTACATTAAGAATGCCATTATATTAGTCTATGACCATATTAAACTTGATCTGATCTGATCTGACTGCCATTAAGTTCCGTGTTTAGAAAATAGGCCAGGCAGTTAAACCTTTGACTTGGAGGAGGTGGGGCATAGATTCTTTCATTTGCTAAATTGAATTCATGCAAAACAAAATTCATCAAGGAGACCTTCATTTTAGTTTGATTATTAATCTATGCATACCGAAAAGAAGCAAAACAATGCATTGTTTGCGAGGGTTAAGGATGGGATAATGTTTCCCCAGTTCCAAGTTTGTTCTGCCCAACATTGATATCAGTTTGTGAATACAACAAAACTTAATTCTTTTCATTTAAAAAGTAGCTTATTTACTTATTTAATTATCTCTTCAATTTATATCCTGCTCCCATTAGTCCTGAGGCACTACTCTGGGCTGTTACAACAAATATAAAACAAATGATGAATAAAAATAAAAGCACTAAAAGCAAGTTGCAAGTAACCATAAAAGCAGATGACAAAACTATTATATAGGAACCAATGCAGACAGAAGAAAAAAGAATAGGTGATCAACCAGGGTTGGTGTGCAAAGCTTCCCTGTAAAGCCAGGACTTCAGTTGCCTCCTAAATGCCAACAAGGAAGCTGGTTCCACAAGGTTGGAACAACTGCAAATACATCCCTACTTCTTGTAGAAGTCTTATGGGCCTCAGGGTGGCCATCCAGAAGAGCCTTGACTGAGATGATCTTGTGGGTTGGGCAGATGACATTAAGGAAAGATGCTCCGGGGTGATGCAGTCAAATTTGCTTGCACCCACTACCAGTCTACCTACCACATTCTTAACCCACTGAAGTCTCCAGATCAGGCCCAAAGGAAGCCCCACATAGAGGGTGTTGCAGCAGTTGATCTATAGATGACCAAATTGTGCATCAAAGCCCTGAGCTAGGGGTGGAGTTGGATGATTAGCCTAAGCTCGTTAAAAGCTGATCTGAACACAGCTGCAATCCAGGACTCCCAAGAAAGAGCCAGATCCAGAAGGATGTCCAGATTATGCACTTGGTCCTTAAAGAGGAGGACAGTGCCATCCAATCTAGGACAATCCCCCCACAAGTCACCCTTCAGGAACAAAATCTCTATCTTGTCCAAGTTCAGTTTGAGCCTGTTAACCCTGATCCATTCCAGTACTGAAGCCAGGCAGTGCTCAAGTGTCTAGATGGCTTCCACTGCAGAGGTGGCAATGGAGAGACAGAGCTATGTCTCTCCTGATGACCTCCCACAGTGTCTTCACATAGACGTTAAACAGCATCAGGGATAATGCTGACCCTGAGGAACCCAATACCTTAGGGTCCAAGGGGTTGACATCTCTTCTCCCTAGCCAAACTCTCTGGACATAGTCCTTGAGAAAGGATCAGAGCCAGCTCAATGCTAAGCCCCAGATCCCAATCTCCAAGAGTCTGTCCAGGAGGATACTGTGGTTGATGGTATCAAAAGCCACTGAGAATTCTAGGAGTACCCAACAGGGTGCATCTACCTCATCTGATATTTTGATAAAAGGTCACCCTGTTTTCATTGAAAACTAGTTTTGAGGAGGCACAAAAGGTTAAATATTTAGGGAGTCACTATTACAAAAAAGACAAGTAGTTTGATGAAAGAAAATTATCTTACAATTCAGAAAGAAATACAGAGAGACTTGGAAGACTGGAATAAGCTACAAATCTCAATGATGAGGTGAATCTTAACAATAAAGATGAACATTTTAACAAAATTGTTATTCTTGTTTGAAAACTTACCAATTCTATTAAATCATAAATACTTCAAGGACCTGGACAGTCTGATCTCAAAATTTGTCTGGAAGGCCAAAAAACCAATAATAAAACTTAGAGTACTACCTAAAAGAGAGAGGAGGGCTAGGACTGCCAGATTGACTATAATACTACAAGGCCTGTGCTATGATTTGGATAAATGAATAAATAACACTAGAAAATCAAATAATGTTGAAATTGGAAGGTCATGAAGATGGGTTGATATGCATATGTATGGCATGGAAAATTCATTAAAAAGGCACATTTCTCAGAACATATTGTGATGAAAGTGTTATGTTTAATATGGCAAAAATTTCAAGTGAAAACTTATAAGAATATTCCAATATGTGTAGCACCAATAGAGGCCTTCACATTGAAAGTGTTAAGCCAGGAGGGAGTTTTACTCACATATGAAGACTTGTTAACTAAAGATCAAATGCTGAAAAATAAACAAAACTTTGAGAAATTGGGTCTATCAACAGATTGGTGATCAATGCTGAAATTAGAATCAATATATAAAAAGGACAAAAACATGGGCCTTTTTGAGGGGAAAGTTCAGATAGATGAACTATGGATCTACACAAATGAGAAAATAATTTTTAAAATGTACAATATCTATTAGAGTATGACCTAGAAGATGAGAGGGTGAAGGAGATGATGGTCAAATGGGCACAAAATAATATTGATATTGATGACTGGACAAAAATATGGAAAGATAAGTTGATTAAACCAGTTAATCTTAGAGAAAACATCCTTAAAATGTTTCACAGATGGCATTTCACTCTGGTAAGATTGGCAAAAATGTCAGAAGGGATCAGCAATATTTGTTGGAAATGTAAAAAAATATCCATGGACTTATTATCATGTACGGTGGTCATGCAAAAAAGCAAAAAAAAAAATGGTTAAAGGTTTGGGAAATGTCACAAGAAATTGTTCCGCAAAAATTAAGTTTTAAACCTGAAATGTTGTTATTGAATATCATGCCAGAGATCATTGATAAAAACAATAAAATATAATCTACTGTGTATATATATACACAGCAGCCAGGTTACTCTGGGCCCAAAAATGGAAGAATGGAGAAATACCAACGATGGAGGCGTTATTAAAGAAGCTACTGGATATTGCAGAACTAGATATGCTTTCAGAGGCAGTACAGGATCAACCGAGATACTTTGTAAAGGAAAGCTGGAAGATGATATATAATTGGGTCCAGAAACAGACAGGAACTTAGGGGAAGAAATAGTCATGGCGAACCAGTGCTCCCTTTGATGATATTAGATGACCAGACGAGAGCAAAATCTCTGATCTATATATGTAGCAGCTTTGCTGTCTTTTGTTATTTGTGTTATTTTTGTCAGGTCTTTGTCGTTCTGTATGTTTTGTGTGCATGAGTAATTAAAAAAAAAAAAGTCACCCTGAAGCCTTTGTCGTTCTGTATGTTTTGTGTGCAAAACATAATTAAAAAAAAAAAAGTCACCCTGAAGCCCAATCAGTGTCATCTCAGCACCTGGTCGTAGCCTGAATTCAGACAGGAGTGGGTCAAGGCGTTTCTGCTCTTCCAAGGTATGTCTGCAGCTGATTTGCCACCACCCTGTCAATCACCTTGTCCATGAATGGTATGTTAGCGATTGGATGGAAGGTGTTGAGATTGTCTATCGCTAATTGGGTGTGTTTGATGATGGGTCAGACTATGGTTTCTTTTAGACAGGAGCGACGAGTTCCCTCACTCAACATTCACAACCCAATCAATTATAGCCCCCATAATGGCTCTAATCAACCATTCTTATTTCCTTTTATATGAATTTGCTATATACCTGTAAATTATTGCAAATGATTTTCCCCTAAATGAATACATTCCTTCCATATGCATTTTGTTTGCACTTTTCCATTATGCATGCATTGTTGTATGCATTTTTAAGTTGCTAATTGAATTCCAAGCAT